AGAATGGTGCCTAAAAGCAAGGTTTGTAAAATTTCTTCACACATACTTCTCACATACATGTTGTGTTAGTCCAGGATGACTAGAGAAATAAGTCAAGAGACACTCATATTGTGTAAGAGAGAACTTTATAGCAAAGAGCAGTTGTATATTAAGAAACCAGCCCATCCCAGTCCAGATGAAGTCCATGAGTCCAATAAATGTTCAATACCAGTCTACGAATTCCACTTCCGACACACGATACACATGCAATGACACCAAATGCAGAAAGATCACGGGCTAGTGGGTTGAAAGTCTTGTGGATCCAGTGGCAATGGAAGCATCTCAGCATTAGTGTGGGTCTCCACGTGACTCCTCCAGCTCCAGGGCTCTGACTCATCAGTGTAGCTCCATGTGTCAAGTCAGGAGGAAGATGAAGCAGAGAGCATGTCTGGCCTCCAGTGAGCTATTTATTTCCACTGTGCCTCTAAATGAGGTCATCAAACTGTGGCCTTATTAACACGCTAAATTCTACACCTTTGCAAGTTGACAAAAGAGTATGTAAATATCACAGACTACCCCTTGTCAACTTGACATCTTTGCACAACTCTTCAACCATGTGTAGTCTTTAAACAAAACAATAAAATATCTGTACCTAACAGGATAAAACTAAAATGCATGCAATTCAATATGTGCCAACCTCATTTAAACATAATATTCTATAAGTGAACAACACAACAATATACTGTGCCTAACAATTGCAGTTAAGTAACACCTACACCTTAATCCTGTAATCCTACGAATGTATTCCAACTATGAAAGCCTGTAAACCAACCACTTCATGCCTTCATCCCCCCATTTGGGTATCCAATTTCTATACTACCTACTTACCTCAACCCAGTGCTCTGAGGAGACAATCATATTCTTTGATGTGAAGAATCTTCATTCCAGTTGGAACCTTTGCAAAGTCAAATCAGGACAAGTCGTCCATAAAATCAGCAACAATATGCGCCAGTTTGTGAGCACAGGCTCAAAAATCTTCTCTTCATCTGGTCATGATCTGGTCAACTCAATGTTGGCTGTCTCATTTAGCCTCACTAGGGTCTCCATTGGTCACCTCGCCTTTAGACCATGGGCCTGTCACAAATTCTTAACAGCCCCAGCTCCCTTGGCTAGGTCATGCCATAGGCTCAGGTTCCACACAGCTCTATAATCAGACCAGCCAACCCGCTCTCATCTTCTCCTCTAGTTTCTGTAAAACAGGTCCATGGGTGTCAGTGGCCATACTTAACCCGTCTTTCTATTGCTGCTTTTATCCAACTTCCACTCAACAAATGGATCTAGGTGGTCACCTAGCAAGCATTTCATGCTATCACAGGCTCCTTTTAATGTTCAGTCCTAGAGAGGAGAGATCCTTCATGGTTCCACATTTTTCCAGCCTCATGAACAAACCACTAGTTCAAAATTCCAGAGTTCTTTTCTTCCCCTTCAATCTTTCAACTGCCCCCTAAGCAAATCGCTTCACCTTTGAATGTCCTGAGCACTCAAGACACTGGGTGGGGCTTATCTTTTCAGAGCCTTCTTTGCAGGTGTGTCCTAAACCCATTTAAAGATTCAACTTTAAAAAAAAAATTATTTTATTGAGGGCTCGTACAATTCTTATCACAGTCCATACATACATCCATTGAGTCAAGCAGATATGTACATCTGTTGCCCTCATCAATCTCAAAACATTTGCCCTCTACTTTAGCCCTCAATATCATTTGCTCAATTTCCCCCTCCCTCACCCCACCCCCCTCAACCCTTCATAATTCATAAATTATTATAGTTTTGTCATAAGTTACACTGTCCGACTTTTAATGGCTGAAGGCAAGGCTTCCAAACTTTCTATTTCCATACTTCCCAATAATCATTTCAACAATAATAAGCAGAAGAAAGAGCAAAAACCTAGTACAGCCAGATCCTAAACTCAATTCTTAAACGAGTGAAGTTCAATCTTTAATGATCTTATCTTAATCCTTATCTAAACAATTTCATTGATACAAAATATAGCTTTGGGCCTCTGGCTGTATTGCCTCAATCCCGGGTCAGGCCTTCTGTCAGTCATTTTCACCTGTCAGCCGTTTTCACTAAGCACCATGGTCTCTAAGAAATTCAAGCGGTGATTTCTCCCCCTAAGCTCAACATATACATTAATCACATTCATTTTTGCCATTTCAAACAGGAATAACCAAAGGAAATGATCAAAAGTTTAATTTCTCATATTCTTTCCAGAAAACAACATGGTACACTGCATAGCTATATCTGACTCTAGCTAGCCAAAGGAGAAAAACTACCATGAGGCAGAGGTCAAACAAGCATCCACTCTCCATCTTTATGATTTGTTTCTCTAGTACCCCACTCCCAAGGTGCCATAAAAACAACATGCTTGGTAAAGTAGAGGGCCAGTGAAAAAGAGGAAGACTGTTGATGGGATGGATTGACCTTGTAGTGGTTTAAATATAAGAACAGTTCGGAGGAGGATGCAGGACGTGTGTGTGTGTGTGTGTGTGTGTGTGTGTGTGTGTGTGTGTGTGTGAATCAGGGTGGGCGGTGTTTCATTCTGTTGTACTTAGTGTTGCTCTGAGTTAAAACCAACTTGATGGCACCTAGCAACAATGGCATAGCAGGGGTTCCTGGTGTTGGCTTACACATTGGGATACAAACCTCAGTGTCGAAAGTTTGAAACCACCAGCTGCTCCTCAGGAGAAAAATAAGAGTTTCTGCTTCCATAAAGATTTCCAGCTTTGGAAACCACAGGGGGAGTTTGACTCTTTCCTAAAGGTCCCTATGAGTCAGAACTGACTCAAAAGAAGTGAGTTTTTGAATGATGTAATGGTTAAGGACTTGGTAACTGAACAGAATGTGGTGATTCAAACCCCCTACCTGCTCTACAAGGGAAAGAACTAGCCATTGGCTCACATAAAAAGCACAGTCTATTAAACCTTATGGGACATTTCTGTTGCATCGGTTGATGTAAGTCAAAAATCAATTCATAACATAACACTAAACATATAACGAAAGAGAATAGATCAGATAAATCATCATGGGTGATAGAATCATAAAAGGAAATAATCATTATGTCTACCTCATGAAAGTACACATCATCTTTCAAAACAATCTATGAACCAGATCAAATGTCTACCTACTTATATAACATATACAAATAGGTACTTATATGCCTAAAATAGAGGACAGATATGTTAAACGCACCAAGCAAATACAATCATCAAAACTAAAACAACAAAATCTATGTGAAAAATAAAAAGGAAGCAGCATGGTAATCTATGTGGTAAAAGAGGCTTAATATATATTTCAAATATCAT